GTGAACTTTCTGCCAGTTTGTGTAGATTGATATAGGGCATATTCTTAAAAGAGAGGAAAGGAAAGGTACTGAGTATCGTCAGACACGGTCCCCAGGCCCGAGCCCACTGTACGGCACATAACTTGGGAGTATCAGTTTGAGGTCATGAATGATTTTACTACATCCATAGAAAATGAGGTCCCTTGACCCAAGCAATGAATGCAAAATCTAAGTTAGAGCTGCCTGATGATTCCAGACTGACAGAGGTAACTCATTCCTCTTTTCCATACCCATTTTACTTACGTACGTTAGGTGGGATTTGCAAAAGGGTACACAGCACTGGTCTCACCTTCTGGTCTCCTACTGAAATCAGTGGCAGCAGTTATCTCCCTTAGGAACCCACAGGGCAAAGGCCATGCCATTCTAAAATCTGAACATCTCACACTCCAGTGCATTTATGCTGTCACTGCCCCTGGGGAGCAGGGGGGACAGTGCTATTATCTCTGTTTTACAAAAGGAGGATCTGAGCTACAGTGAGACTAAGCAATTTGCCCAGGATTGCCCTAGAAGTCCATAAGAAATCAGGCACTGCCTTCTAGGCCTCTGACCCCTAGAACAGCACCAAGCAAAAAAACATAGTGTATGGGAGGAAGAATCGCACCCAGTAAGTACTGTATTGTTCTGATAATAAGTCAGTCCCACATTTCAGGTTCAAATTTCAAGTAAAGCAGCTTTTCTCCTAAATATATGTTGATAATTACAGATAAAGTCCTTGAAATACTCTTGCCCTTACAAGATCCCATAAGAAAACCAAATAACCAAGTAAAGGACTCAAAGGGTGAAATGATGTACCAAAACAAAAACTGAAACATTTTTAACTAGGTATTTTTACTTCATGCACAAGCAAGTGCAATTTTACCTTTGGAGGAAATAAAATAGTAGATTTATAATCAAAATAATGAAGTATTTAAGAAAATACACAGTACTTCCTAACAAAATGCACTCCAAGAAGAGAAAGGAAAGGGAAAGACCAGAAGATCCACTTACCAAGTAACGATGTAGGGATGTTTTCACACTTTCAGCATCTGGTTGAGGTGGAATCCAGTTATCTGTAACTTCTGCTACTGTATACAGCCAATGGATTAGCTCGTCTAGCTGACAGCAAAATATCTACTTAGATGAATCATAATAAAAGGCATTACTTATTTATTTCTGTAACAAAGAAGATACAACAAAAATTAATACCTGGCCAAATGATGCTTCATAAAATGCTTGTTCTCTGCTGGCTTCGACTCACTGAACTTTTAAGAGCCTTTTTGAGCACTGGTCTCTTCCTTCACTCCCCACAATTACTTCCCACCAGCCACAAAGGAGAGATGTTAGCTTGAGTTCACTCTTGAAATGAATACTAGTACCCAAAACAGCCTGCTGAAAAAAATCTGGTATGCAAGTTAGCTGTCAAGCAGCACTCGCAGTGGGTTGGATGTATTAACTCAGGGATGACTAACTCGTGGCATGGGTGCTATGGAGCACATCAGGGGAGGGGACAGACAGACAGCACAGCACCAGATAGGGCAGGAAGCAAAAAGCAAGGAGAAAATCAGGTAGGAAGCGCAGGGAAGGAAGCAGAGAACCAACTGAGCAAGGGAAGAGGAAGGGAGTGGCCTGTCTGCTAAAAAGGCTGGTCCCCACTGTATAAACCTTTAAATGCCTGTTATTAAAGGTCTTGAAGTCAATGGAGTTCTTCAGAGGTATAAAGTCTGCTAACATCTCCCTGGAGAAGTGCAGGCTTCACTTTGTAGAATACAGAAGTTAGCAAATGAATTTCCCCCAAATCTTTCAAACTCTATAAATGTATATTTTCAAAACAAATACCTAATTTTTAAGCCCCAACAAGGGTTTATGTTGAGCAACTTATGCATGGGGGTCCATGCTCTCTCTACTGACTTTAAGCTTGGGATCTGGACCTAATTCACCTGGGTTTCGTCTATATGAAAAAGGTGTGCTGTTTTCACCACAGCAGTACAGTGGTACCACTGCCCACCCCAATATGTCTGAAGTCATACTGGCACAGCTATTCCCATACAGGAAGACGAATAAATTGTTACCAGTATAAAATGAGCATGTAACGAGGTTCCTCCTTCATTTTTCTCTCCTAATTTTTCATCAGAATCCAGAAGAGAGAAACCAGCCCCATGGATGTGCAAACAAAACTTCATTAAAGGTTCAGAAGTTCCCCCCTCCCCACATTTCAATTAGTTCTATAAATGATAATGAATTGTTAATCAATATCATTCAAAACAATAAAAATAGAAAAAAAGAGAGAGAGAAACTCATCCAAGTTTTCTAACAAGTCCTGAAACAGGAGAAAATTTGCCTAGTTTCATAATATCCTTAAGTTAGGGACAGTCTATTGAGAGGCTCCATAACTGTCCAGTGAGCCTGGTTGAAATTTCAAGGACAATTAAGCCAATGTACAATTTCACTGAATCACAGAGAAGTAGGGCAAGAAGGAACCTCCATCAGTCATCTAGTCCAACCTTCTGCCTGAGGCAGGATCATCCTTATCAAAACCAACATAATTCAACAGAAAAACTGGCAATTTCAGTTCAGTTTCATTCTAGCTGGGTCTGCACTAAATTTCTCTCCTCACCAGCATAGCTTCATTTAAAAAAAAAGCAAAAAACAAAAGTGCCTGTATAAAGATCTTAGAACCAGCCTGGAAACAAGGCATAGAAACTGCTTTGTCTCCCATTTGGTGGTAAATGTCATGGGAGAAGATCTAATGCAGACGCAAGCTTTGAGCACTCTAGCACACTTGAACCTCCAATACAGTGTTAACAGACCAAAACCAATGTATGCCAGACAGCTCCACAAAAACTTCAGTTGAATGTTGGGCCTGATCACGAAGAGACAGAAGCTACCTGGAATTCTGAAAGCTCTTGCTGACAGAGGTCATCCTCCCATCAGAGCCAAATCTGTTCCAGTGAAACAGAAAGGGTTGGTTTTGATAATATCATGTAGGAACATGCACTACAGGAGATTTAAATATCGTGCAAGACGAGTTACGAGGTAAACATGTCCCCCCTCCTTGACTTCATCTTCCAAATGAAGATTAGCTTCTGGTTTCAACCTACCTTAATACATTGAGTAAGAGATTCTTTCTGTTGGTCCTTTGGATGCTGCCATTCGCTCTCCAGTGCTCCACGGTATCGCCCATCTAGCACAGCTCTGATAGTGGAGGTTGTATTCAGTCTTTCAGAATCCTTGTGCTCCTGGCTACACAATTTAATGTTTTCAGCATAGGGCTTCTGAGAGTCTTGTGCATGACACAAAAGAGAATAATCCTCCATGCCCTCCATTTCCATGTTCCTGTCTGTGCCACCAGGACTGACAGAGTCAGATGAAAGCTTCTCTCTGCTACCACTGCAGCAAGGAAGGTCTTGCTGGACATGGTCTTGCCCAGGTTTCCGCACAACTATGGAAAGAGCAGATAAATATTGAGCCAAACCTTCTAACTCCTTGAGTCTGGGAGGCAGAGAAAGGTACTCTTCATCATTCTCCCATTCCTTTTTTAGTGGCAGGACTTGTGTTGTGGGTATGAAATGACTAGCACCTTTTTTCTTTAAGTTACACTGTGAAAAGGGGTTATTTGGACTCCAGCAGCTTCTCTCATTTGTGCTAACTGGATTCAAAGAAGTTAGTCCCACATACTTAAAGGAAGTCAAACTGTTTGCGAAACTTCTAGAGGGATCTGGTTTGCTGGCAGTGGAAGCACATTTTGCAAAGGACACTTTAGAGATAGGTGAAGGTTCACAGGAAGAAGCTGATCCAAAACAGCCTGGCTTTTTAGACACAGGGGTTGAAAATCTCCCTGCAGAGATCAGATACTCCTTACTTTGCCTTTCCAAAGTCTGTTGTTCCTGGTTTTGTGCTCTCATGGACTTTGAAGTGCTTTCAGGTGACATGGAAAAGCTGTCAAGATCTACACCTGAGTCATGGAAGAAGGGATTAGGAATCATAGACTTGGGGTTGTTTGTAAGTTTGTATTTTGGCTTTAAAGGGTAAGTATAATCAAGCAAGTCCTCATACTCCTTATTAGGGTTCCAGTGTGGAGACTGCCGGTCCGGCGATGGGGGTAAACAGTCAGGTATGGCACACGCCCAGTAATCCGCCTGAAAGGATGACATCTTTTTACTGTGTTCCCCTGCTACATGGTTCTTGAGGACAGGGCTGCACATGAACAGTGCAGCATCCTCCATAGGACTACCCTGACTGCGTGGATGTCGAGAATTGAAGACTTCAGATGGAGGGAAGCCTTTTTCAGCCAGTAAGCTGCTTGCTTGTTTTATCTCCAGCCGCTCAGACTCACTGTCTTCTGGAGGCGGTGTGGAAAGGCTGGAGCTAGACAGCTTTGGGGATACAGTCTCAGAACTGGAAGCTGTTTTATCAGGCAAAGATTCCAGAGCAGATGAAAAGACGGGAAGATCAGCTTGGCTCCTACGTTTGGCACTTAGTTCATGAAGCAAATCAGAAACTTTGGTGTCCATGGCTGAGTTTGGAAGCCTGGGCAGAAGCTCAGAAGTATTCGATAATTTTTTCTCCCTGCAAAATATAAAGCCCCCCAAACCTATCATACCCTCCCTCCTGCAAGCTGCCGCTGGTGCCCTTGGTGCCAGTTTTACTGACGTTCACTGGTACTGGGAGCTGAGTATCTGAGTAAATCGGGGTAGGGAGAGGGGCAGGATGGAGGGGGTTGGTTCCCAGGGGGAGGGTTATTCATCTGGGAGTCGTGGGGGGTGCTAAAAATAGTTCCT